CGTCGACGCCAGGTTGACCATGCTGGTCAGCGTATCAGGGTGGTCCTCGCCGAGCTTCGTTTTGCGAGTCTCTACCACCTGCACCTCGAGCTTCTCGGCCTCCTCCCATCGGCCCTGGTTCGAAAACGTCGATGCCAGGTTGGACATACTGGTCAGCGTGTCGGGATGGTTCTCGGCTAGCTTCGTCTTACGAGCCTCTATCACCTGCGTAAAGAGTTGCTCGGCCTCTACCAACCGGCCCTGTTTCAAGAATGTCGACGCTAGGTTATTCATACTCGTCAGCGTGTCAAGATGATCGACGCCGAGCTTCGTCTTGCGGGTCTCTATAACCTGCACCTCGAGCTGCTCGGCCTCCTCCCATCGGCCCTGGTTCCAAAACGTCGATGCCAGGTTGGCCATACTCGACAGCGTGTTAGGATGGTCCTCGCCGAGCTTCGCCTTGCTTATCTCTATCACCTGCACAAAGAGCTGCTCAGCCTCCTGCCACCGGCCCCGTGTCCTATACGTCGACGCCAGGTTGGCTATACTGGTCAGTGTGTCGGGATGATCCTCGCCAAGCTTCGTCTTGAAAGTCTGCATGACCTGCATATTGAGCCGCTCGGCCTCCTCCCATCGGCCCTGGTTCAAAAAAGTCGATGCCAGGTTGGCCATGCTCGTCAGCGTGTCAGGATGGACCTCGCCGAGCTTCGTCTTGCGAGTCTCTACCACCTGCACCTCGAGCTTCTCGGCCTCCTCCCATCGGCCCTGGTTCGAAAACGTCGATGCCAGGTTGGACATACTGGTCAGCATGTCGGGATGGTCCTCGCCGAGCCTCGTCTTGCTCGTCTCTATTACCTGCACCTCGAGCTGCTCAGCCTCCTGCCACCGGCCCTGTTTCCTATATGTTGACGCCAGGTTGGCTATACTCGTGAGGGTGTCAGGATGGTCCTTGCCGAGTCTCGTCTTGCGAGTGTCTATCACCTGCACCTCGAGCTTCTCGGCCTCCTCCCATCGGCCCTGGTTCGAAAACGTCGATGCCAGGTTTGACATACTGGTCAGCGTGTCGGGATGGTCCTCGCCGAGCCTCGCCTTGCTCGTCTCTATCACCTGTACCTCGAGCTGCTCAGCCTCCTGCCACCGGCCCTGTTTCCTATATATTGACGCCAGGTTGGCTATACTCGCGAGGGTGTCAGGATGGTCCTCGTCGAGCTTCGTCTTGCGAGTCTCTACCACCTGCACCTCGAGCTTCTCGGCCTCCTTCCATCGGCCCTGTTCCGAGAATGTCGACGCCAGGTTAGCCATACTAGCCAGCGTGTCGGGATGATCGACGCCGAGCTTCGTCTTGCGAGTCTCTACCACCTGCACCTCGAGCTTC